TGAATGCAATCCAACTCCAGAAAAATCAGTGGCAGGTCTGTTATTATCTTCACTATGACATGAAATGGAATTTGTGTTGGGACGTTGCCCTAACGATTTCAGTCTCCTTTCTTTGTACATAGTGTATACAGCACAGATAAGCATGTCAATGCTTTAGTTGTAATGAAACCAGCAGAGTATTGATTGATTGACAATTAATAGAGATACATTTTATTTTCTTCAGAGTGCTAATTGTCAATGTCACACTGAGCTGTTTAAAGGAAGTTACTGTTTGTCTGCAGACTTAAACATGCTGTTAAGTTATCTGTCACGTTTATTTTAAACCAAATGTCACCACATTTTCTATTTCTAATATTCAGGCTGTGAATGCTATTGTTTATGAAAACTACCATCACCATCAATGGATAAGACAGCTGTATCAGCAAGTTCAGAGATTAGCCCAAGGTCTGCAGAAGCACCAAAAAAGAGAGAGAGGTGTCTTTGGCATAAAAAACTAAAAAGGAAGGAAATGGAATACTGAAAGCTGACCAAAGAAAGCTCATTGACTGATGTAGGGTGGGATCGAAAACCAGGTAGGAGGAAGGAGAGGAAATTAAATGGATTGAAAATTTTGGACAGCACCTTCACCTCAACATTTTGTCGCAACAAGTCACATCTGCTTAAATATGATGTTTGTGTAAAACTGTTGTTTAGACCAGTGGTTCTCAACCTTGGGACCCCAGATATTCTTGGATTACGACTCCCAGAAGTCTTTACTGGCCAAGCTGTGCCAGCCAGGATTTCTATCTGGGGACCCAAGGTTAGGAAACTGGTTTAGACTGTTACTTGTTTAAAATTTATTTTAGTTGGTCATCTGCACAAACATGACTGAAAGTATTATTTTAGAGGCCTGCCAGATTGTGCCACTGCTGAGAAACAAAAGCCAAACTGATGGTGGGGGAAGGAAGGGAAAACCAGAAGTGTACAATCCCACCACACAATTACACTTAATCTGATCCCATTAGTGAGGGTTTACTCATGTTCTTTAAAAAGCTGAAGCAACTCCAGTCAATAAAAAGGTCCCTTACAGTAAAGTTCATTATTTTTAAGCATACACTGAAGAGTCACATGGACATGAAGACAAAATTCATACTAATACAATGCGTTGAGCTCCTAAAAGCTGGCTAGACCCAATTTGGTCCTACCCTGATCCACACAACTGAGATGGTAAGGGAGAGATTGACAGTAATGCAGGAGCAGAGTACACACTCTGGCTCAATCTCTGGGATCTGTTGTTAAGAAGAATGAAATAGCAGGAAATGTGAATGCCATTTTCTGTAATCCTGGAAAGCAATTGTCAGACAAATAGTCCGACCTGTAAAAGTTACCTTCCTACATTTTTTTTCCCCTGTGAATTCAGGATAAGTGATATAAACCATGCAATGGCTATGGAAAACTTTATGCAACTCAGTACCTTTGGATTTTCCATTTCTCTTGCCTAAAGATCCACCTGCAATGCATCCAGGAAGCTCCCATAAAAAGCTACACCTTTGCATAGAACTCCCAATACAGAATGTTACCATGTGACATACTGTACTCTTGTTCAGGCTGACACCCAGCCTACCACACCACATTCCTCCTGGAATTTTCCCCTTTTCTTTTTTCTTTGTTGGTATCTCTGTAGACCTTCCAGATCCTTAAACTCCTGATACCACCTTTTTGTGGATAGACTATGCTGTTTGGGCTACATGAGGATCAGCACCATGAGTTCATCATTTGTAAGACTGATATTTTCAAAAACACTAACATACACAAACTTTCACAGATTATTTCCAAATAATTGTTAGTTCAATATTTACATACCACTTCTTCCCCACTTTGAACCCTTTTTTAATATAAACCTATCTTTTCACCAGGCAAATTTAATGGCATGGATAGAAGCAGCCATATTTATAAAAGAGTCCTATGAGGAACTTACTATAGGGTAAAAATTCTGTTAAACTATTTTGTTAGATACACACAGTGACTTGTGTCATATTCAAGACTCTACCTTAAAAAAGATGCTATGAATAGACAAATATAACAAATGTACATTCAGAGGTTAATCATTTTATTTTGTTCACAGGTGTCACTGTTGATGTTTTGTTGAAAATAAAAACATGATTCAGAAAAGCTTTCTTGGACTTGAGATCAGTGCTATTCCAAACATATCAACAAAAGAAAATAAACCATTTCTACTAACTCCAAGAAGAATGTCAAAGGCAGATAATGCCACATTTTGTTCCAGTATAGACTTATGCCTTCCTTTTCATCTTCTTTTTTTCTTTTTGCTCATGTGCAATCCATGTACTCCAAATAAAGTCCTTTCAACATGCCTACAAGACAGTACACGCTCTAAACACTTAACCCTGGCAAAAAGCCAGAGTATAATTGATTAAAAGGTGATACATAAGAATCATTGATTCAAATATCTTTTTCAAACATACAAATAAACAAACAAACAAAAAAGATAATGTCAGTAAGAATTTAAGCTACCAAAAGAAAACCACTCCAACAAGAATTGTAATAGGAAAGACGGCCTTCACTTCAGTGATTCCCAAACACATCACCAGGCGATATTAAGATAATTTTAAAAAAACAGGCAATTAGATGTGCAACTACTTTTGAAGGAACACATTTTGATGTAATAATGGTTTTGCATTATATAGTCTTATGGCACAATGCTTAACAACCGACAGAAGTTATATTTCATTCATTCCACTGGAACCATTTTCCACATAAATGTACTCATGTTTCTCACATAAAACATGTCCCCAAGGTTGTTTGACTCTGTCTTCTTCTGTCTCACTTTAATTGAGTTGCTGTCAAAAGTGCAAACAGCTAGCCTACGAGTTCATGTGAAACAAACATCTAAGCCTAAGGGCAGGGTTTTGCTGAGTCCCAGAGCTCTAGCTGAAAGTGCTCTTTCAAGAACAGCAACCTGGTAGCAACTGTTGATTCATTATTCAGAGTGAGGGCCCAGGTTTTCATTGCATGCAAACACAAGTAGACAAAAACTCAACAGCCCTCTCTGGTTACATCTTTGATCCAGGTTGTCCCCCATCGCTTCCCTCCTGGTCAGGTTCCAAATGCTAATTGTTAGCGAAGAAGTGATAGGCAAGCAAAGGGCTCTGCATCCATTTCTCGATTCCATTTCCCTCCCTCCTATTCTGTAGGTTTCCAAAGACAGTTTTGGCTTGCCAAATGCATGCCCCTTGGAGTAGGAGATATTGAGAGACGCAATCTGTATCAAAGAAATTGTGAGTGGGGGGAAAGCTACTTCATCTCTGCCACTGGTCCAGATTAAATCTCCCTCCTGCTAGCAGCTTCTTCCTAGGAAAAACAGCCACCAAGCTTTTATTAGATATTTGTGTGCAACATGTAGTTAGGCCCTAGCTCTGAATAATGAATCAACAGGTGCTCACAGATAGCATGTGCTTTCTTATACACAGCAGTTTATAGGCTCTGATACTGTAGCCAGCCTACGAAGTTCTCAGCACCCAATGCCTTGCTTTGCTAAACATATTATGAATGGAACCTGCAGAAAGAAGCTACATCACAATGCATCAGATAGAGGCAGACTGGACTGGTCCGATCCTTCAGTATGGAGCAATCCACAGCGGCACCCCTCTCACCTTGTGCGACAGATACATACTGTATCTAAAAGGAGCATTTCAAAAAACATATTCACAAATGCCAACATGTCTTCAATATGTCATGTCTGGGTATCATTACTAGGCATGATCCCTGAGCACATGATTTGCAGGAGGGGGGATCTCTGTGCGGAAACCACACCTATGAATCTTGAAAATAAAAAATTGTAAGCACACACAATATGTTTAGGTTGTAATCCTATAAAACATTTTCATAGGTTGCACAAAGCCAGAGTCTGGAAATAATATGTCACAAATAGTGTACTTAGTTGTGACTAATTATTTTTGAGTAACAGTGGTGTAGTGAAGTTACATTTCAAGCAATGCAAAGAGCAGCAATAGAACTACTTCCTGATCTGCCAGTTTCTAGCTGCCTTTAACAAGTTACTGTACTTTTAAAGGGCATTTCAAGAGGCGTTTTGAGCATAACTTTTCACATTTTAGGCCATTCCTTTAGCAATCCATTGGATTTCTCTTTTAGGAACCAAAATAAATCCCAAAAAGGAAATGAGCAGCAAGTAAGGCTATTTCCACACGACAACGAGTAACCCCAGCTTTTCAAACACTATAACCCTTAGCAGGAAGAAATTGTTTTGAACGAGACAACTTTCCGAGTTGAGCTCGCAGGGGGCGGGGATGTTCATTATCTGGCGAGCCTGGTCAGTCGAGGAAGTAGACGAGTTATTTTTAAGGCTTGCTAAAAGCACGGAGGCGCGGGATGCCCGTCCGCCGTTGCTTAATTTGGGAAAACAGGGAGGCAAGGGACGGAGCAGCTGCCTCGCTGCCGCCCGAGGATACCCGCGAGCCTAGCGTGTGTGTGCCCGGGCTCGGCACGATAGGCGGCCGCCCGGAGGCTCTTTCCTGACAGGGGAAGTTGGCTCCCGCCACATCCCGCGGGGCGCCCTCCGGGGAGCAGCCCGCCCTCTAAGGAACCGAGCCGTCAATCTCTCGGGGGGAGGGCTCGAGGCGCGCACGAGCCACGCGCGCTTCGCCCGCACGCGCGGCATTCCTCCGGCATCCCCGGCGTTCCTGGTGCACGAAGGAGACCTCCTCGCGCCCAGCCGAGCCTGCCCTCTCCCGCCCTTTTCCTTGAACGGCTGTGGCCGGCCCGAACTCACGGGCGGCAACACTACGGTCCCCACCTGCCCCTCTCCGCCGCTACTCTGGACGTCGGGGGGCGCGGGGGGGGGCTGCTGCCGGGCCCTCAGGGCAACGGGAAGGGGACATTGCTTAGAGGTCAACGGGAGGAAGGCGGCGCGACAGCCGAGAAGAAAACTTTGAAGCCGGGAGGGGAGGGGAGGGGAGGGAGGAGCGTTAGGTCGTACTCACACAGTGAAGTGGTAGACGAAGCACTTCCAGCCCGTGGGTCTCTCCAAGAAGTTGTAGACCCTGCCTTGGATGTTGCTGCGGCTCAGCAGGGGCTTACGGACGCTGTAAATGGAGACGCGCGGGTCCAAGCTGACGGAGGGGCGCGGGAAGTCGCCGCTCATCGCCACCGTTGCCTCCTCGCCGCCCTGAGGCGGCTGCGTCGGCTGCTGCTGCTGCTGGGACGCGCTGCCGGTCGCCTGGGGTCCTGTGGGCGCGGAGAGGGAGAAAGGCGCGTAATGCGCGTTGGGGGCGTTCTCGGCGAGCTCCAGGGCGGAGGGCTTCATGCTCCCTTTGCTGGACGCCACCGAGAGGCGCGCCAAGCTCCACGGTTTCCTCCTCGCCTTCGGGGAGGAGGACGAGGACGACATCGCTCCGCTAAGAGCGGCAAGGGCAGGGGCAGAGGCGGCGGGCGGGCGGAGAGTGGCCCGAAACCTGAGGCAAGCCGAGGGGCAGAGCGAAGCGCCGGCTCTGTGTCGCGGGAGGTGGAGGGGGGGGCGCGCCCGGAGGGAGATGCTAACGCGCCGCCGGGAGGCGAGAGGCGAAGGCAGGCGCGACTGGAGAGAATCACCCACACTCTTTCCCTCATCAACGCCGGCTCGCTAGCTCGCCCAACTCCCCGAGAGTTTTCCTTGGCCCTGCCCACTCCGGGGGAGGGCTCCTCGGGGAAGGTCCTGGTTCTCCGCCTCGCAGCCACCCAAGGAGCCCGGGCACGAGGCTTGCCAACAGAGCCTGCTTGCCACTCCGCCCCTTGCCCTTCCCCGGCAAGACTCCGTGCTTGTCACAGCGACCAGCAGAAGTTCAACAGGTTGCGTTGTATGACTGCTGGCGTCCTTAGTATTATCCGCTCTTATCTTTATCTGAAATCGGGAGGCACAGCGCCGTGAACGACAAGAGAAGGCCTGCGAGCTTGCGGCGTTTAGGGCAAAGCAAAACTACTTCGTTCTTGTTTTGCGTTTGATGCTCGCATCAACCTTGCGAAGTGGATTCCTAATAACATTCCAGCGACTGTCCAGGGAATTTCCTAAAAGGAAAGAACGTTCAAATTAGGATTTTTCCAGAGGCAGGTGCAGCACTAAATCGAGTATCTGACCCTTTCCCCTGTTGTGACGATTCCCAAAGGCTGAAATCATATACGTACTGTATACGCCATTTATTCGTATGTCAGGACACTGGAACTTAGTTCTGAGTCAATAAGCATAAGGTTCTACCGGTAGCTTATATACTGCAGAAACACTTGCACACAGTTCTGATATATCGAGGAACGAAGATGTGTATCACAATCATCCTAACATTTTAGGGACAATTGCTTCAGCCATGTGTCACCTATTGTCTGCTATTTACTGATATTTTGAAGAATCCTGGTTGGCCTGCTTTGAAAATCTGTGAATTACATCAGATCTTAAGCATATTTCCCCCACTGCATAGTTGCACTCTCAGAGATGCTTCTGATAATAGCTGTAGGGGCTTGCATTGCAAGTGGCCTTAGAAACTTTTCTTTCACCTTCAAGATGCACACACTTCACCATATGAGAATAAGAAGACTGATCTCTCCCCCTTACTTCCATTGTGATAGTTGCTGATTTAATGTACATAAAGCAGTCTGAACACTGTAGAGCACAAATTATATATTATATATATATATATATAATCCTTGACAGCAGTATTGTTTTCTCCTTAATCAAAGTCTTTGTATGCTTTCACTTTCCAGCTTTTTTGAACTACCCATCACAAAAGGCATACGAGCTGGGATTATGGGAACAGTAGTTCATCATATCTGAAAGGTGAATGCTGAGCCAAAGAGAGAATAGATCCAGTCACCTCTCTGGCTTCTTTTCTACCTGAAAGTGAGTAATCAAATGTGCCTGTTATGCACAGTTTTTACACAGTTCCCCAATCAACCCACCCTGAATAGGTTTATTGCGATCATATTGAAAGTTGTACAGTAGTTTCCTGTTAATACGAAGCAGTTGACACAGCGCATTCATACTACGTAGAATAGTTTCTTGAGTGGAAGAAAAACATATCATTCCACCAAGCAGGAATCTCAGAATTTCTGTTACCCAGATACCAGATTCCACTTGATGCCTGGGGCTGGGAAGCCATCACAGTAAACACTGCCCTACTGTAACCTTGTAATCTGAAGCTGATTGCTTAGTCACTGCTGATTGTAGGTGAGCACCACCTACCCATCATCAGAATCACTACTCACAAGAAAGTGGTACTCAGGTTGCTTTGTCAGACAGCAGGATGGAGCAACCTACACACCACCTGGTAATCTTGCAATTATTAGTTGACATATAGAAGCCTCAGGCACATGAGAGTGGTTCCTGTGACACTGGTCATAGCACACAGAGTGCAAGTACACAGAGAGTAGCACAGAAATATACAACGATAAAGACAGCGAGCATTAGCTTCTTCCAAAGCAATGCAGTAGTGCTTGTATAGACGTAACTGAAATCACTGGGGTTTCTGCAAAAGATCCACTGACATGACTGAAAATGATGGTGTGGAAAATGATAATGTTTATTTTCATAACATACAATGCTCAGAGTAACTCACATTAAATAATAAGCCTTTCCTATTGAAATAGGCTCATTGAATTAGTGGAACTTATGGAGGAGATAACTCAACAAATCCCCTCTAATTCAGTGGATGTACTTAGTATTGGATTTCAGCCACTGATTCAGTGAGATTTACCTAAGTGTTTGATTACCACTCAGTAATTAATTCTTAGTTGGGACTATCAACAGGATAGTGACCTGAGACTTAAATGGCCTGTAAAAATAGTTTGAATGCAATATTAATTCTTAAAATCCTTAAACTTTATATTAAGAATTCTTAAAGCTGTAGCAGAAGAACTTTATTCATATCCTTTTTACATTACAGTAGATTCACACATTTTTGCATGTGTGAAATAGCTAACATGCATAGCACATAACTAATGTTTTTATGCACACAGAAAGTATATGTCTATGTGCATGCACCTCTGCTTAACATTTTGTGCGAGTCACCTATTGTTGCTATTAAGTGAATTATTGCAGCTCATGTAATCAATAAGATGAAGTAATATCTAAAAAAATCTCACAAGGTATGAGTCCATAATTGCTGCTTTTTAAGAAAAACAGCTATACCCATGAGAGGGGCTGTCTCAGAGGTTTTTTTTTTTAAAAAAAGTGGATTGTTGGTGTTGATTTTGTTTACCAGTTTTCAGTGTGGTATTTGTTTGTTCTTTTTAATTATTTGTATTCCTGCTTTTTTAAAATTTTAAAATATTGTTATTTAATAAGCCACCTTAGATCCTCTTTAAGGAGAAAGGCAGGATAAAAATATTTTAAGTCAGGGGTCTCAAACTGAATTTACCTGGGGGCCGCTGGAGGCAGAGTCTGGGTGAGGCTGGGCTGCATCAGATTTTCCGCCAAGTGGAGCAAGAGCCCGAGGGAGCCGCCCAGGTGTTTCCTTAGCCCGGCTGGGGCTCCGAGGAGGAGGAGGGGCGTGTGAGCCTTCGTCGCTGGCCACAACCTCCTCTGTCTCCTTCTTCACTGCCACCACCAGCAGTACTCTGTAGGTTTGATTATAATGTGTCTTAGTGCTGGTATAGTCCCTTCCATTTAACTTGTTCAAACTACTACCTGAAGTCAATAGGTGGGGGGGGAGGGGAGGGAAGGATCATAATTCCGTGGATGAGAATATGCTTTGCATGTTCCCAGTTAAGCTTCCAGTATCTTTAGGCAGAACTAGGAAAAAATCCTCTCTGAAACATTGGAAAGCGACTTCCATTTAATTCTGGGAATAGTGAGCTACACTGACAGAGTGTTGTGTAGTGATTAAAGTCTTGGATGAGGACATGAAAAATCCAGATTCCAGTCCCAATTCAACTATGAATCTTTTTGTGTGTGTGACCTTGGACCATTGTCTCTCTCTGCCCAATCTGCCTCATAGAAGGGATCAGAACATTAAAAGGAATTTAGTTTGTTACTCATTATTTCTCAGCAGTCAGGTTGTTATTATCACCATTTTTGCTATGAGTGTACAAGTAATTTGGTGCATTGTACATTATTAACATGTTATATTGCTCTTACTGACAAGCCACAGAAAACACAGGAGAATGTTAGGTGGTTCCCTTTAGTGGCCAACTCTGACATCAGATTGTGGAAATATTTATGCAAGTACAAAAGACAAAATGAAATAATATTTCCTTTGACATGTACGTAAGTGTGATAAAAGAATGGTATGAAACCTAAAACGTTTCTTTTGAAGTGTCTATAAAGATGCCATAAAATGGTCTTTTGAAAATAATTAGGGTTGTGATGACACATAGATGAACATACGCTTAGATTTGCTGTGGTCCACAGTTTTTCAAAGTGAGTCCTTATGGTTTCCATGGGTGAAACACCTGTAGCCAGCCTGATTACTATATGTTTTTCTGTTCACTCTCATCACCACTACATTTGATCTGACAAGCTGCTAATTGGCAATTAGCAATGGCAATTACTACTACTTCCTTTTTAAAATTGTGCTCTACATTACTATAATTGTATATTTTTTGTTGTTAGCCGCTCAGAGTGGTATAAATATACCAATTGGGCGGGATATAAATCAAATAAATAAATAAATAAATAAATAAATAAATATCTTTCCAAAGTGGCTTAATACCAATTCCTTTTATTGCTGATTTAAAAAAAAACACTGTTTGGAGATAACATGGGCTCATCCCATGAGCACCCCTTTGTATTGGAACAGGCAGTCATACAGAGCAGAAAAAGCAAAATAAAGCCATCACAGGGCAAAATTAAAACCTCCCCTGCTGACTGAACTAAGTAAAAATGATTCTCCGCTTTTTTATTTATTTGTCTTGGTGCATTCCATAATTTAAAACTATGTATATATATGAAATATAAGTAAAATTAGAAACAAATTAAAATGTTAAGATAATTAGACTGTTTGTACAAAAGACGATCTAGTAAATCTAGATCTTCTTTTACAGAAACATCTGCAATGTTTCTGGACGTGAAGGATTCGTTAGCTGTATCTTGTTGCCCAGGGGATGTTCAAGTGTACTCACAGTGCTTTCCCAGTCTCTGTGAAGTCTCTTTCTCTGTCCCCCGTTTCCCCACTGAAAAGAGACAATTCCTCAACAGGCTACCCTCCATTGAGCTTTGCATTATGTAAATGCTAGGTTTCGATTTTATTTCATCCATACCAGTTCCAATGCAGATTGCAGTGTAAATGACCAAGGCAGATGCACCCTAGATACTACTTTTTACAGCTGAAAATTAATTTTGTGACTATCACTTACATTACTTGTCACACAGAAATTTAGTTATTATATGCAACCAGGTACTTCCAATTTTTGTATGGGGTCAAGTGGAGAGAAAGTGACAGAGAGCTGTGTATTCCACCTGAAGCCTTTTGGAGGAAAGATGGGACATAAAGATGACTAATAAATAAATGGCCTGACACTTTGAAAGCAATTGGTAAATCTCTGAGATGTCATTGTCCTGTTTGATTTATGTTCTGTGTAAGTTGCCCCCAACATATCAAGGACGAATTTGTGATTTATCTTTTATACCTGGAAATACTTCATTCTAAGAATTTATCAAAGAAATTCATAGGTATAGTTGCTTTTTAAAAAGTAACAATTATGGCATCATATTTTGTGTGATTTATAGATATTACTCCATCCTATTGATTACAATGATTTACAGTATAGATATTACTCCATCCTATTGATTACATGTGCTGCAAATAATTCATTTAACAGTGAACAACAGCAACGATAATAAAAATTAGCATTTACAATGCAATCTTATGGTTGGAGAGTAACTTGTACTGAGTTCATCAGGGTTTCTTCTAGA